AAGGTAGCCTCTGTAGCTGGCTTAGTCTTAAGGAGCCATTCACCTGCAGAGGTACTCAACTTAATTGGTTTCACAACCTACAGGCAGTTAAACCAATCAATCGAATGGAATACCTTTTCAGCAAAAAGAAAGTATGTTGACGAGTACATCAAGTATGGATTTATTTGGATAAATAAAGCAGGAGTGGAAAGGCCATCATATGCATGGATGTTCTTTCCAATGAATCACTGAAACCAAATAAATTGCAACGTCATTTAAATACTAAGCACCCTCAATTTAAGAGCAGGGATGTGGATTGTTTTAAACAAAAAGCAGGAGGTGTCAAGAAATGCCGACTTAATGTTGGTGGGTCTTATCATCAACAAAACTTAGCTGCTCTAGGAGCCTCACAGCATTGTTATAGCACTGAAAATTGTGAAAGCTAAGAAAGCACATACCATAGCCAAGGATCTAAGAGTTCCCTGTCCCAGAGAGCTTGTCTGCCTTTTAATAGGTGCAGATGCTTTAAAAAAGCTGCAACCTTTGTCAATTTCCAATCATTCAATTAAGCGTAGAATTACCGATATGTCTAATGACAGCAAATTTCAAGTCATCGAAGAAATTAAAAATTCTCCTGGAGGATTATTCAGTATGCAGCTCGATGAGACAACTGATGTGTGTAATCTTGCACAGCTGATGGTGTATGTTCAGTATATTAAAAATGAATATGTGAAAGTAGAATTTTTGTTCTGAAAACCGTTGGAAACTACGACCACAGCACAAGATGTGTTCAATATCCTGAATAGTTTCTTTGAAGAACATTCCATAGAATGGAAAATCTTGTGTGGCATTTGCACAGATAGGGCTCCTGCTATGCTTGGTTGCAAGGCTGGATTCCAAACCCTGGTTAAAAATGTTTCTCCAAATGTAATTGGAACTCACTGTTTCATCCATCAGCAAATACTAGCAACTAAAACTTTACCTATTTTTTCAACCAGGTACTTACTGACGTTATTAAAGCTGTACATTTTATTAAGTCCAGCGCACTTAGAAATCGCATATTTAAAAACCTTTGTTCGGAACTAGATTCTTTGCATGAAGTATTATTGTTTCACATGGAAATAAGGTGGCTGTCGAAAGGCAAAGTTCTAAATCGGGTGTTCGAGTTATGAAATGAATTTAAAACATTTTTTATGTCACAGAACAAAACTGAGTTTGAATATTTGTTTACTGAAAACAAGAGTTTGTATAAAATAGCATACCTAGAAGACATTTTTGGCCTACTAAATGATTTAAATGTGGCACTTCAAGGACCAAATTCTACAATTATCGGATTATTGGAGAAAATAAAATCCTTCAGAATGAAACTCCAATTATGGATTTCAAAAATTGGTATAAAAATGTATGTGTTTCCAACCCTCGCAACCTTTCTCAAAGAAAGCACAAATGACATTAATATTAACGACGATTTGCGATTGTCGATACAGGAGAATTTGAGACACTTAAGTGATGAGCTACTCTGATATTTTCCAGATACAGATGAAAAGTTCTTTGCTCTTGCAACAAATCCTTTTGGTGGAACCACGTCTAGACTGCTTTATTTTTCGAAAAATCCTTTTTCATAAAAGCGATCGGATGCGATTATGCAAATGAAGCACGAGATTTCTAAATCTGCGCTTTGTTTGCATTTTTTATTTCCTTCCTTTACATTCCTCTTTCGAGTGTGTTCTAGACGCACCCTAGGTGAACAATGGGCTTTTGAAGTAACCTTGTACTTCCTGACCATCCTCCGTGCTTAAATTCCTGAATTTAAATAATCGCGGCTTCATTTAAATTTACATGGCTGCCGCACTGAGCCGACAAACAGCTAATCAGCTGTTTATCGGCTCAGCGCGCTAGTCTGGACGCTCCGCGCTGACCTGAAACCCTTTTATCGATATCCCGGTTATGCTTCGTAGGATGAGGTTTACCGGGGATGTCGATAAAAGGCTGGGGAGCATCCAGACTAGCACTCTGAGCCGAAAAACAGCTGATCAGCCATGTAAATTCAAATGAAGCCGTGATTATTTAAATCGCCGCTTCATTTCCCTTTTCCAAAAAATCAAATCTACATGGCTCCGTCGACGGAGCCATGTAGTTTAGATGTACCCTTATGGTCCTTTCTATTTCCCTCACTGGGATTTGACTGCCACTTTTTAAAAGACGTGTTTTTATCTCTCACTGCTTCCTTTACCTGGTTGTTAAGCCACACTGGCATTTTCTTGGTTCTTTTCCTGTGTTTTTTAATTTGGGGTATACATTTAAGTTGGGCCTTTATTATGGTGTCTTTGAAAAGTTCCCATGCAGCTTGCAGGGATTTTACTTTTGTCGCTGTACCTTTTAATTTCTGTTTTACTAACCTCCTCATTTTTGAGTAGTTCCCCTTTCTGAAATGAAATGCCACCGTGTTGGGCTGCTGAGATGTTTTTTCCACCACAGGGATATGAAATTTTATTACATATTGGACACTATTTCCAAGCGGTCCAGTTATGTTTACGTCTAGGACTAGATCCTGCGCTCCACTTAGGACTGAGTCAAGAACAGCCCCTCCCCTTGTGGGCTCCAGAACCAGCTGCTCCAAGAAGCAGTCTTTTAAGGTATCATGAAATTTTATATCTGCATCCCTTCCTGAGGTGACATGTACCCATTCAATATGGGGAAAATTGAACTCCCCCACTATTATCGAGTTGTTTAGTTTGATGGCTTCTCTAATCTACTTTAGCATTTCATAGTCACTATCACTGTCCTGATTAGGTGGTTGATAATAGATCCCTTCTCTTAAATCCTTATTATTGGAGCATGGAATTAGTATCCATAGAGATTCTATGGAACATTTTGGCTCATTTAAGATTTTCCACTTCATTTGATTCTACATTTTCTTTCACGTATAGCACCATTCCCCCTGTACGACCTCCTCTGTCCTTCTGATATATTTTGTACACTGGCATGACTGTGTCCCATTGATTGTCCTCATTCCACCAAGTTTCCGTGATGCTTATTCTATCAATATCATCCTTTAAAACTAGGCACTCTAGTTCACCCATCTCATGATTTAGACTTCTGGCATTTGTGTATCAGCACTTGAAATGTTTGTGGCTATTTATCTGTCTGCCATTTCCTGATTTGTTAGACTCTTTTTCTTTAATTTGTTTTGTTTCTCATCTGATCTCCCCCATATTTTATCATCTTCCATCCTCCTGCCTAGAACATAGAACAACCCTATTAATACACCCTCCCCTAAGAGATGTTTCTGTATTATCCACGTGCTCCTCCGCATCCGTTGAGTTTCCCCCAGCCCTTAGTTTAAAAACAGTTTTCATAACCTTTTTAATATTAAGTACCAGCAGTCTGCTTCCACTTTGGTTTAGGTGGATCCCATTATTTCTGTATAGGCTCCTCCTATCCCCAAAGTTTCCCCAGTTCCTAATGAATCTAAACCCCTTCTTCTTATGCCATCGTCTCATCCACTCATTGAAACTCTGAAGTTCTGCCTGTCTACATGGCAGAGCCGCGTGTGGAACTGGAAGTATTTTAGAGAACACTACCACAGAGATCCTGGATTTCAATCTCTTTGCTAGCAGCCTAAATTTGGCCTTTACGGCCTCTCTCCTTCCCTTCCCAATGTCATTGGTAACTACATATACCATGGCCACCGGTTCCTCCCCAGCACTACACATAAGACTATCTAGAAGTCTCGAGAGACCTGCAACCTTCGCACCAGGCAGGTTACCCATCATACGGTTTTCCCAGTCATCACAAACTGCTGTCTATGTTTCTAATGATCTAATTCCCCATTACTAACACCTCATTTTTCCTAATGACTGGAGTTCCCTCCCCCAGAGAGCTGCACGGGGTAGCTGAATTAGTCTGTTACAGAAAAAAAACAATAAATGGTGTGGTAGAACTTTATAACCTAACGAAACATGTAGATGGTATCATGAGCCTTCGTGGGCACAATCCACTTCTTCAGATGACCTGAGTTATGAGTTGGGGATATGAAAACTCGAAATAAACAGGAGAGGGGAAGGAAAGGGAGGGGGGAGAGAAAATGAAGCGGGGGGGTGGGAGACAGAACATCAAAAAAAGGGAGGGGTGGGAGACAGAGCAGCATTAAGTATCTAGAGAATGGGTACCTAAGCAGATTAAAATCTATGTCAATAGATAGATTCCTAAGAAAGGAAGGATACCACTCAGAGAGCTCTTAGCACTCCAGTGGTTATTAAGTATTCAGAGAGGTCTTCAGTGGTTATTAAGTATTAAGATTCCAGGGCTTCTCTTGGATCTGGCTTGTGGAGCTGGTTTGTGACAAGACAGCTACCTGCAGGTCTGTCAGACTGTGGTTCGGCAGGCTGAAATGCTCACCAACAGGCTTCTTTGTGTTCTCTTTCCTACTTCCAATTCGGAGACAATTTCTATCTCCAACTCGGCGGCACAGCCATGGGCACTCTCATGGCACCACAATATGCCAGCATCTTTATGGCTGACCTTGAACAACTTTTCCTCAGCTCTCGCCCCCTAACACTCCTATTTGACTTACGCTACATCGATGACATCTTCATCATATGGACCCATGGAAAAGAGAGTCTTCAGGAGAAAACCCTATTCTTGCTTACAGACAACCCCCTAACCGGAAACGCATTCTTTCTGCTCACCATGACACACAACCACATCAGAAGCCTCCAGGAACCCAGCTCTGCAACCAAAAAAGATGCCAATTCTGCCCATATATCTACACTGGTGAATTCAACAACATAAAAAAGTAATTATTTTTCAGTGTGTGAAGAGCAAGCAATCTGCTTTGCCCATGACACCAGTCTCAAGCAGGGCATGTCGTGTCTCATATTATCATTTTCTGTCCCTCCAGGCAATTCTGCTGTGACCATCATTATAAACCCTGGGCACATACGTATAGTGAGAGGAACGTATGGTACATGCACAAGCCACTCTTCTGCCTCAGAGTTGGACAAGTTCTTCCCCGCGCCATGTCAAACTCCAACACAACCGAGTTCTCCAACCCCTCCACCTTCATCCTGCTGGGCATTCCTGGCCTGGAGTGGGCCCATGTCTGGATCTCCATCCCCTTCTGTACCATGTATGTTGTAACCATCTTGGGGAATTTCACCATCCTGTACATCGTGAAGAAGGAGTCAAGCCTCCATGAGCCCATGTACTATTTCCTCTGCATGCTGGCCATCACAGACCTGGTCCTGTCCACATCCACCCTGCCCACCATGCTGAGCATCTTCTGGTTCAATTCCAGGGAGATCAATTTCAGTGCCTGCCTTACCCAGATGTACTTTGTTCACTGCTTCTCAGCGATTGAGTCTGGGATTTATGTGGCCATGGCTTTGGATCGCTACGTGGCCATCTGCCATCCCCTGCGACATTCCACCATCCTGACAAACTGTGTTGTAGCCAAGATTGCCCTGGCCGTGGTGCTGCGCGGTGCCGTGCTCGCACTGCCCTACCCCATCCTAGCCAGACAGTGGCCATATTGCAGAACCAACATTGTACCCCACACGCACTGTGAGCACATGCATGTGGTGAAGCTGGCCTGCGTCGACATCAGCATCAGTAGTTACTATGGCCTCTTTGCGCTAATCTCTAGGATTGGTCTCGATGTGCTTTTTATCACTGTGTCCTACACCCAGATCCTCAGGGCCATCTTCAGACTCCCCAGTAAGGATGCCCGGCTGAAGACTTTTGGGACCTGCAGCTCCCACCTCTGCGCCATCTTAACCTTTTACATCCCAGGCCTCTTCTCCTCCCTAACAACTCGGTTTGCCCATAATTTGCCTCTTTATTTCCACGTTTTCATTGGCAATTTGTACCTCCTGTTGCCCCCCATGCTGAACCCCATCATCTATGGGGTGAGGATGCAACAGATCCGGGCCAGGCTGCTCCGGCTGTTTCCTCATAAAGGGACTGAAGTTGTCTCCTTTGGCTCTGGCTCCCAGTCCAAATCCTGTGTAAAGCTTTCAGGAGACATGGTTCTTGTCCCTGCCTGAATCACTGATTGGCCAGTCAAAGAGAGAATAAATCCTGTCCTGTCCTTACCAGGGTTTCTGAGTGTGACTTACAAAGTGAACAGTTTGGGTATGTATAGACTACATCCCTCTGTCACCAGAGGGATGTAAATTAGACTTACCAGCGTTGCAAATGAAGCAGGGATTTAAATACCCTGCTCTTCATTTGAATAAAAATGGTCACCGCATTTTGCAGAGTCAGCACTTTGTCGGCAAAAAATGGCTGTCAAGACGGGGATCAGTCGACAAAGAAAGCCTTTGTCGGCCGGTCCCTTATGCCTTGAAAAACGCGGTTTTCAGTATGGAGACAGAGGGGTGTAACTCATTCACATCTGTACACGTGACACCATCACTTATTCACATCTGTACAAGTGGCACTAACCACAACATCACAAGCCCATTCACCACCACATCCTCTAATGCGGCATGTGCCATCAAGTGCCAGCAATGCCCCTCTGTCATGCATATTGGCCAAATGGACGGTCTGCACAACAATGGATAAACGGACACAACTCAGACACCAGAAATCGAAACTCACAGGAACCCGCAGGGGAGCATTGTACCCTGCCTGGGCGCTCGGTCATGGATTTCAAAGCAGCCGTTCTTCTACCAACAACTTTCCCCAGCCAATTACAGACAGTACAGAGTTGACCGTCAGATGCAAACCTGATGCTGTTTCATGGGGCTTGAACAAAGACATTAACTGGATGACCCATTAGAAATCAGCCTTCCATACACTTAACACATCTAATGCTAGGGAGGGGACACTTCCAGCCCACTCAGCCTCATTAGCACCGGCCCTACAATTGCCAGGTATTTTTTTCCCTCTCTCCCTTTTCTCTTTCAGTTCTAAATTCTTGTTTCCTTCCCTCACCCCTCCCACCTCCATCTCCAGCTCAAGTCTAATGGGCCACAGGGCTACTTGTTGTTTTTAAAGTCACACACTAACACGGCTCCCGCTTTAAGATAATTTACCTCATAGATTTGCCCCCTTTCTAATTGTCTTTGTCATTGTAACTGAGACCCAAGGCCTTGGCCCCTCCCCCTCGTCTCCTCCCAAAGCCCTGCCTCTACTTCAATCTTCCCTGGAGACCTCCATCCCTTCTATGCCTTTCCCCCACCCTTCACCCCCTGCATTCTTGATTGCTCCTCTCCTCCCCCACTTCTCTTTGGAACATCTGTGTGATGGGTGCCTCCTGGCATGGAGGTACAGCTGAGGCCTCTGAATCACTCATCTGGCTTCCCTCTTGCATTGCGACATGACACGCTTGCTTCAGACCAACATCTGCAGGCAGGGGCCACACCCCAGCTGTTTTCCTGAATGCTCTGGCCAGCCAGTCATGGACCCACCGTGGAGAGGCCACAGAGAAAGTGCTCTTGGATCCCCAGCCTGAGAACCCAGCACTCTATCATCCTGTCCCGGGCAAATCCCACCCAGTGTGATTGCCCAGAGCACCAAGGGCAGAGTTTCAGGAGGGTGGAAGGGCAGGGAGGAGTGGGCAGCTGTGTGCATGGGGACATGATTTACTTTTCTTCCCGTTCCCATGACTATCAGGAAGCGAGGGGCAGTACTTGCATGATGTGAATTCCTCTCACTCCTGGCTGGGGAAGGGAGAAGGCAGAGGAATAATTCATGGAATCCAAGTACTTTCCCTTTGCTCTTTTACTGCAAGGCACACAGCTCTGTGGAGTTGGCCTTCCTCATCCAGAAGTTGTAGACCCACTGGTGGTCATCCCCCCGCTCCACGGCCAGCCGGTCCAAGTGGTGTCCAGCCTCCAAAGCATCTCTCTATTGTGGGATGTGGTTGCAAGGGCCTTGCTCCCGCACACAGGGAGAGGGTCTCAAAGATGAGCTCTGGTTTGAGCTCGTGCAGGGCCATGAAGGCGGCCGGCACAAACTGCTGCTAAAACCACAGCACGGCAGTGTGGGGCCCTTGCATGCCCAGAGACAGCTCCGGCTCCATGGGAAGAAGGCCAAAAGCTGTGGTGTCCTGAAACAGGGCAACCAGAGCGCACACTGCAAAAGCTTTGCTGTCCCTTGCAGAGTAGGCAAGCAAGTAGCAGAAGGTGAGAAAGAGCTGTCCAGGGGGGTCCCTTTAAGAGCAACTCAGCTAGCCTGAGGCAACAGCCCCCGGAAGCAACTGCTGACCTAATGTCCTGCTTGAACTGGTTCTGAGTGGCCTTAAATGTGAGACAGCGTCCAATCCACGTGGACGCTATCTTTCAACAAAGCAGATCACTTTTTCATTGTGCTTTTGCTGTGTAGACCTTCTCTGTTGAAATGAGCTTTTCCAGAAGATCTCTTCCACGACTGGCCCTCAGCAGACAACTTTTATTTACAGAGTCCCTCTTTATAGGGTGCGTGGGTCTGCCCCCCCCCAACTCCTCAGTAGCTACTAAAGGGCGGGGGGAGGGCAGGAAGATGCCTGGTCCTAGGAAACATAGAAGAAGGAATAGGAGCTTGCGGACACACACCCTGGGCCAGAAGGGGTGCTTAAATGAGGGTGAGCCCTCTACCATGACCTCGAGCAATCATATCTCTTGAGCCTCAGTTTACCTACCTATATAATTGGTTTGTGTCGATAGTGATTTTCCTGTTCTAGGTCTTTTCTCTCCCCTTCTGCTTGAGGCCCTGCCCCTATTGGGAGCATACTCAGCATCTGTGTGGGGAATACGCCCAAGAGTTGCAGAGATGTGCTTGGTCCCTGTGAGGAAAATGGGGATGGGAAAGGCAGATGAACATCTGGCCCCTCTGAGGGAAATGGGGCAGAGAGGCACAGACACTCGCCCACCCTCTGCGAGGGGAATGAGGAAGAGTAATACAGATACACACAGACCTAAGTGTACTGGGCTTAATGAAAAACCTTCAATGGAAGGTACTGGACAGTGATAATAGACACAAACATGCAAAGCAGCGAATTCGTCCCTGGCTCAGCCCAGACCCCAAAGGGCCTCATCTCCTATGGGAAGGGCCTTTAATGGCTATTTACTCCTAAAGCTGGAGAAAGAGCAGAGAAGTGCGGACAGGCTCCTCTCCAGCCTGTTTACACTCAGATGCTGCCTGTCCCGCGAGATAGAGCTAACCCCCCTGGGACAGTCCAGAACTGGGTTATAAACAATGCACAGCCCTGTGCTGGCTCTTGGCGCGGGACACTGCTGCAGATGCTGGGCTGAGAGAGGTGCAGGACGCAGCTGCCTGAGGGGGGTTCCCAGGGAAGACACGTCCCGCTCAGCACTCACAGGTACAGTCTCATGCTGCCTCCCCTACTCCACAGACCCAGTGAAGCATGGGTCTGAGGGGACAGTCAGGGCCCTTTCCTCTTTGCAGAGCCATTGAACATCCCAGGGCCCTTGCGTTACGAGACATGTTTCCTCTAATTCATGGGTTAACATGTCCTTTATTTCAGTGCACCCCAGCCCAGCCCGGCTGATGCCTCCAGTCCCGAAGTGGCTGCCCTGCAGGGGCCCAGGGGCTCTGTCGGGATGAAAGGTGCCCGTAGAAGTACAGGACAATGCCCAGCTCACAGGTCCCAGCCAGGACTTTGCCCAGGTCCCAGTGAGGCCCAGCTCCCCGGATTGGAACTGAGCAAATATTTGAGAAGCCACCCATGTGTTACTGTCCAGAAACGTCCCCTCCTGCTCCTGAACCTCAGGGCTCTGGCTGTGAATCGGCGGATTGGGGGCGATGGCAGGAGGTGTTACCTGACATTTCTCTGCTGGAAAGCATGGAGGTGGAACATGGTGTCACAGGCTCACAGGTGGCACCTGCCCTTGGCTCCGGACCATAAGGAACCTGCTGGTGTGACAGCCCTTCTAGGGGTCCCCTCTCTGCCAGGCCACATGTGGATTGTGTAAGAAAATTCCCTTTCTTGGTGCTGTGTGTGATGAGACACAGTTAACAGAAACAACTGAGTACTTTTTTGACAGATTCATGGAGCTTGTGCCCAGTAAGTCCAACCACCCACACAACACAGGCCGTTCTATTTTTACCCACTGACTCCACATTGGGCCCCATGACCTGTGTGTCTCTAAGACCTGATTTACACCAGGATGTTGTAGCGCAGAGTCAAAGAGACATAGGTGAGGAGGCGAGTTCCTGGTCAGGTCCGATCTCAGTCTCTTGCATCTCATTTCCTTTTCTCCCAGTGCCATGGTGTCAGGCGACGGTCAGGGCAGTGTGCATGTGTGTGTGTTTCTGAGAAAAGGTTTAACGTCCGTGTCTTTATTGCTAGGACCGGGGTCCCGTCGCAGAGGGAGGCCAGCAGGCCAACAGACGCCCCATTATATAGGAGGAGCTTATTACACTTTAGATTTTAGCTGCTAGAACACAGGGTTCTTTCGCAGCGGGCAGCCTAGGAAAGGCTGAAAGGTGCCCCATTGGACCCTGTCACCTGGGAGTGACACAGATCCAAACGCCCAAGCTCTCCCTATGTCTGTCCCTTTATGACCAGCTGAAGTTCTTTTAAATTGTGCTTGGTTCTATTACAGGACTTGAAGGAGTCAGGTTAAAGCTTAAACAGTTACAGGTTTATTTAAAAGACTTATAAAAGCATATGGTTACAATGGCTATTGCTCTATTTCTTAAATGCTAGCAAATATATATATATATATATATATAGGTCTTAAAAATGATTACAGGAAAAAGGTAAAGATAGAAAATAGAAATAATGGTACCAAGTGACAGCTTAATCTTTAAAGAGCTCTAACACTATGTATATATATACTTAAACAAAGGACCACATCCAGGTACAATTTTTACCCTCTTCTGTGCCTCTCGACTCCAGCGTGTCAGGCCAGGGTCGGTCCCTCAATTCCTCGGAATTCCTAGGAAAGACGAATACGAGGTGGGCGTCCTCGTGGTACCTCGGGAGATCAAACACCTAACCCGTGCCTCTACTATTCTGTACTATATCAAGAGGAGAACGTGCAGTAAATATGGCTATGTCTAGACTGGCATGTTTTTCCGCAAATGCTTTTAACGGAAAAGTTTTCCGTTAAAAGCATTTGTGGAAAAGAGCGTCTAGATTGGCACGCTATAGACAACCACCTAACCTCCTATAGACAACCACTTAACCTCAAGAAGATTCTTACCAACAACCACAGGACATACCACACTAATACCAACCCTGGTACTTTCCCTTGCAACAAACCCCGTTGCCAGCTTTGTCCACATATTCACTCTGCTGACACCATTATTGGGCCTAACCAAGTGAGTTATAAGATCAAGAATACATATTCCTGCGCCTCCAGAAATATAATCTATGCTATCATGTGCCGGAAGTGTCCGTCTGCTATGTACATTGGACAGATTGCTCTCCCCCGCCAATAGGCTCTACTCCCTTCGCCACGGACTTTTCCACCGATAAATTTTTGCAGATAATTTGCTTCGGCTTGGGGAATAGGAGACAGTCCTTGCGTGCCTTTTAGTGCCCTGGTTGCCCGTGTGGATGCCATGACTCTTGGGAATGTGTATAGGTGAGGCGATCCTGGGTAACCCAGCCTACCCTTTGCTCCTGTGGCTCATGAAACTCTACATGGGCCACCTGGACCCCAGCAAGGAGGAGTTCAAGGGGCTCACAGGCAGCCTGGACCCCAGCAAGGAGGAGTTCAATAACAGGCTGAGCCGCTACAGACTGGTGGCGGAATGTGCTTTGGATGTTTAAAGGCAAGCTTCAGGAGTCTCTTGACTCATTTAGACCTCAGCGAATGCAACATTTCCTTTGTGGCTGCTCCCTGTTTTATGGTCCATAACCTGTGTGAGAGCAAGGGGGAAATTATCTGTCAGGGTGGGGGCTAAGACAGAGCCTCTAGCCCAGGGTTTTCCAACCTATGGGTCGGGACACAAATATGCGTCGCCATTACATTTTAGAAGGGTCACCTGGTGTCTCCCCTGGTGGCTCTTAAGGAGCCATTCACACATTGAAAAGGTAGGCTCTGCAGCTGGCCTAGTCTTAAGGAGCCATTCACCTGCAGAGGTACTCAACTTAATTGGTTTCACAACCTACAGGCAGTTAAACCAATCAATCGAACTGAATACCTTTTCAGCAAAAAGAAAGTATGTTGACGAATATTTCGAGTATGGATTTATTTGCATAATTAAAGCAGGAGTGGAAAGGCCATTATATGCATGGAAGTTCTTTCCAATGAATCACTGAAACCAAATAAATTGCAACATCATTTAAATACTAAACCCCCTCAATTTAAGAGCGGAGATGTGGATTTTTTTAAACAAAAAGCAGGAGGTGTCAAATAATTCCGATTTGATGTTGGCGGGTCTTATCAGCAACAAAACTTAGCTGCTCTAGGAGCCTCACAGCATTGTTATAGCATTGAAAATTGTGAAAGCTAAGAAAGCACATACCATAGCCAAGGATCTAAGAGTTCCCTGTCCCAGAGAGCTTGTCTGCCTTTTAATAGGTGCAGATGCTTTAAAAAAGCTGCAACCTTTGTCAATTTCCAATAATTCAATTAAGCGTAGAATTACCGATATGTCTAATGACAGCAAATTTCAAGTCATTGAACAAATTAAAAATTCTCCTGGAGGATTATTCAGTATGCAGCTCAATGAGACAACTAATGTGTGTAATCTTGCAAAACTGATGGTGTATGTTCAGTATATTAAAAACGAATATGTGAAAGAAGAATTTTTGTTCTGCAAACCGTTGGAAACTACGACCACAGCACAAGATGTGTTCAATATCCTGAATAGTTTCTTTGAAGAACATTCCATAGAATGGAAAATCTTGTGTGGCATTTGCACAGATAGGGCTCCTGCTATGCTTGGTTGCAAGGCTGGATTCCAAACCCTGGTTAAAAATGTTTCTCCAAATGTAATTGGAACTCACTGTTTCATCCATCAGCAAATACTAGCAACTAAAACTTTACCTATTTTTTCAACCAGGTACTTACTGACGTTATTAAAGCTGTAAATTTTATTAAGTCCAGCGCACTCAGAAATTGCATATTTAAAAACCTTTGTTCGGAACTAGATTCTTTGCATGAAGTATTATTGTTTCACATGGAAGTAAGGTGGCTGTCGAAAGGCAAAGTTGTAAATCGGATATTCAAGTTACGAAATGAATTTGAAACATTTTTTATGTCACAGAACAAAACTGAGTTTCAATATTTGTTTACTGAAAACAAGAGTTTGTATAAAATAGCATACCTAGAAGACATTTTTGGCCTACTAAATGATTTAAATGTGGCACTTCAAGTACCAAATTCTATAATTATTGGATTATTGGAGAAAATAAAATCCTTCAGAATGAAACTCCAATTATGGATTTCAAAAATTGGTATAAAAATGTATGTGTTTCCAACCCTCGCAACCTTTCTCGAAGAAAGTACAAATGACATTAATATTAACGACGATTTGCGATTGTCGATACAGGAGAATTTGAGACACTTAAGTGATGAGCTACTCTGATATTTTCCAGATACAGATGAAAAGTTGTTTGCTCTTGCAACTAATCCTTTCGGTGTGGCTGTGTGTGATGTACCTGAAGGCACCCAGGAACAATTTATTGATATGATCAACAGCAGTGATATAAAAGCAGAGTTCTCAGCCATGCCAAATAATCAGTTCTGGATCAGACGCAGAGTGGACTACCCACTTTTGTCAGAAGTTGTTTTGAGAATTTTACTTCCATTTCCCAAGACTGGACGTGTGAATCAGGCTTCTCACATTTGCTTACAATTAAAAACAAATATCGAAATAATTTAAAGGTGAAAGATGATCTTTGATGCGCACTTGCCACAATTCCGAGGCTACAACAGTTAGCAAAGGAAACACAAGCTCAACCAGCCCATTAATTTAAGTTCAGGTGAAACTGTTTGGTAAAATACTACATTTTACTGGGTTTTTTTAATAATATGTATTATGTTTCCAGTATTTTTGTAACACCTGTGAGACTCCCAGACCCTTGACTGTGAGACTCCCAGCCCCTCCAGCCTCTGCATATGGAGCTTAAGCCAGGGGGGAGTGGTTTGGGGATGTGTCTTTCCCCCACCACAACGCAAATAAATGTAGTGGTATTATTTTATTACTAATGTATTTTCAGATTTCAATGTAATAACTACTAGGAATATATAAACAGGAGAGGGCACAAAATTAGCTAATTACATCACTGACCCTCCCCGCAATTTTTGAATTGCCTCGGGTCACCAAGTCTTCCTGAATTGTCAGAATGGGTCCCCATCTGGAAAAGGTTGGGAACCGCTGGTCTCGCCAGAGACTTTGAGGAGACAGACACCAGGGTGATCAGAAGAGTGCAGGAAGGGGCAGTGAGAATCGGAGAGGCCTGGAAGGACAGTTTTATGCAAGGCCTCTGCAGACTCTGCCACGTAGCTCTCCACAAGTTGCCTGGCATTCCCCTTGTTTCCCTTTAATCCCTCAACCCACCCACTGATTGCCCTCATTCCACCAAGTTTTCATGATGCCTAGTCTGTCAATAGCCTCCTTTAAAACTAGGCACTCTCGTTCACCCATCTTATGATTTAGACTTCCAGCGTTTGTGTATCAGCACCTGAAATGTTTATGGCTATTTATCTGTCTGCCATTTCCTGATGTATTACACTCTTTTTCATTTGATTGGTTCTCATCTGAACTCCCCCATATATTATCATCTTCCATCCTCTCCTCCTGACTAGAACATAGAAAATCTCAATTAGTAGACCCTCTTTAAGGGATGTCTCTGTCCGATCCATTTGCTCCTCTGCAACCGTCAGTTTTCCCTCAGCCCTTGGTTTAAGAACTGCTCTACGACCTTTTTAATGTTAAATGCCAGCAGTCTGGTTCCACTTTGGCTAAGGTGGAGCCCATCCTTTCTGTCTAGGCTCCCCCCGTCCCAAAAGTTTTCCCAGTTCCTAAGAAATCTAAAGTTCTGCTCTCTACACCATCATCTCATCCACACTCTGATGCTTTGCCTGCCTACGTGGCCCTGCACGTGGAACTGGAAGCATTTCAGAGAACGGCAAAATAGAGGTCCTGGATTTCAGTCTCCTTCCTAGCAACCTAAATTTGGCCTCTAGGGCATCTCTCCTACCCTTTCCTATGTCATTGGTACCTACATGTACCACGACCACCACCTCCTCCCCAGCACAACACATAAGTCAATCTAGATGCCTCAAGAGATCCACAACCCTTGTACCAGGCAGGCAACTCACTGTACGGTTCTCCTGGTCATCACAAACCCAGCTATCTATGTTTCTAATGATCAAATCTCCCATTCCTAACACCTGCCTTTTCCTAATGATTGGAGTTCCCTTCCCCAGAGAGGTACCCTCAGTGCGAGAGGTTACTACAACATTATCTGATATAACTTTATCTCAGCTATAACCTGTATAGCAACCAGGTGATCAAACGGAGCTGCATGGCCAAAGCAGGTTATTCTCCATCTCATTCCGTATGTGTCCAACCATGGTCTGAGCTCGGGCAATGGCTGCAAAAAGCAAATGACGCCCTGGTGTTGCTCTCAGCGAGGGCCAGGCCTTTCCCTGGGGTGTAGTTCCTGCTGGTGCCTATTAAGCTCTCTCACAAAATGATATGTGGAAATTAGTGACCCAGGCACACGGCCGACATGCGGAGGATTCATTGTTCACAATACACTTCACTGAAAAAGATGTTTTTTTCAGAGTGTGAAGAGCGAGCAATCTGCTTTGCCCATGACAACAGCCTCATGTAGGGCATGTCGTGTCTCATATTATCATTTTTTTTCCCCTAGGTAATTATACTGCAACCATCATTATAAACCCTGGGCACGTACGGAAAGTCTCAGGAACGTATGGTACATTCAAGAGACACTCTTCTGCCTCAGAGCGTTCACCGTGATTCCATGTCACGTTCCAATGCAACCGGCTCCCCCAATCCCTCCACCTTCATCTTGTTGGGCATCCCTGGCCTGGAGGGGGCCCATGTCTGGATCTCCATCCCCTTCTGTGCCATCTACGCTATAGCCCTCTTGGGGAACTTCACCATCCTGTTTGTTGTGAAGAGGGAGCCGAGCCTCCATGAGCCCATGTACTATTTCCTCTGCATGCTGGCCATCACCGACCTGGTCCTGTGTACATCTACCATACCCAAATTGCTGAGCATCTTCTGGTTCAATTCCAGGGAGATCAATTTCAGTGCCTGCCTCACCCAGATGTTCTTCATTCACTGCTTCTCCATAATTGAGTCTGGGCTTTATGTGGCCATGGCGTTTGATCGCTACGTGGCCATCTGCCATCCCCTGAGACATTCCACCATCCTGACAAACCCTGTTGTAGCCAAGATTGCCCTGGTCGTGGTGCTGTGCAGTACAATGCTTGTACTGCCCTGTCCCCTCCTGGCCAGACAGTGGCCATATTGTAGAACCAACATCATCCCCCACACACACTGTGAGCACATGCCTGTAGTGAAGCTGGCCTGTGCCGACATCCGCATCAGTAGCTATTATGGCCTCTTTGCGCAAATCTCTAGGGTTGGTATTGATGTGCTTTTTATCACTATGTCCTACACCCAGATCCTCAGGGCCATCTTCCGCCTCCCCACAAAGGACGCTCGGCTCAAGACTTTTGGGACTTGTAGTGCCCACCTCTGCGCCATCTTAACCTTTTACATCCCAGGTCTCTTCTCCTCCCTCACAACTCGGTTTGGCCATAATTTGCCTCTTCATTTCCATGTTCTCATTGGCAATTTGTACCTCCTGGTGCCCCCCATGCTGAACCCCATCATCTATGGGGTGAGGACCCAACAGATTCGGGCCAGGCTGCTCCAGCTGTTTCCTCAGAAAGGGACTAAACTTTTGTCCTTTGGCTCGTCTGCCTGAATCACTGAATGGCCAGTCAAAAAATGAAGAAATCCTGTCCTGTCCTTACCATCGTTTCTGAGTGTGACTTTCAGAGTGAAGGGTCTGTGTGTAACGTATTAATATCTATACAAGTGGCACCATCACAGGAGCTAACAACATAAGCCACATCAGCAGGGGTTCATACACCTGTACATCCTCTAATCTGCAATACGCTATCAATTGCCAGCAATGACCCTCTGTCATGCATATTGGTCAAATGGACAGTCTTCACAACAATGGATAAACGGACACAAGTCAGGTACCAGAAATCGCAACTCACAGAAACACGCAGGGGAACATTGTACCCTGCCTGGGAGCTCGGTCATGGATTTCAAAGCAGCCCTTCTTCTACCAACAACTTTCCCCAGCCAATTATAGAGCCAGAGTGAGGACGTGACCTTCATATGCAAACTTGACACTGTTTCTCCAGGCTAGAACAAAGACATTAACTGGATGTCCCTTTATAAAGCAGCCTTCAATACACTTAACACCTCCTTCTCACATCTAAAGCTAAGGAGGAGACACTTTCAGTTAACTTCATTAGCACCCGCCCTGCTATTGACATGTACTTTCTCTCTCTCTCTCTCTCTCTCTCTCTCTCTCTCCCTCTCTCTCACTCTCTCTCTTCTCTTTTTTCTCTAAATTCTGGATTCCTTTTCCCACCACTGCAGCTCAACTCCAAGGTCCCAGAGGACTACTTGTTTTTAAATTTATAAACTAACACTGCTCCCCCTTTAAGACATTTTACCTCATAGAATTGCCCCCTTTCCAGGAAAAGCGACATGCCCAACTCTTCTTAATGAGCTACTATTTTTACCATTTAAACTTCAACCAGCACACAGTGTGTTATGTAAAATATAAGAGAGATTTATTAGCTTGAGAACGAGTTTTAAGTAGTTGTAGGTGAGTGCTAACAGATAGCAAAAAGTAGGCTACCATAAGAAATTAAGCAAAACGTCAGTCTAATCCTAATGTACTTACTCAAGTCAAGATTGACCACGTCTACCTATGATCTACCAAGACTACCCACAGGGCTTGTTAGTCTGTCCAAGAAAGCCATCAGGTTGTTTTAACATGATTTCATCTTGACTGTTCCTTATGACCTTTCTGTGTTGTAAATGTTTGCAAATTGATTCATTAAAATATTTGTTTGAATTATCTTTTCTGGTAGAGAAAGGGAGATGCCTGGTTTGTAATTCACTAGGCTGTTTGTATTTCCCCTTCCCAGAGCTGGCCCAAGCTACGGGCTGACCGGGCTACCGCCCAGGAAGCCCCATTGTAGGGGGCGCCACGCGGGGCTGCTGGACCAGGTGGGGGCGGGGCCGTGCATGTGGCAGGTTCCCAGAGTCCGGGGCGTGTGAATGGCTCGGGCCAGCCCTGTCCCTTCCTTAGCCAGTCTTTTGGAATGTCTCCCTATTCACTAATGGCTCAGCTATCTCTTCCGTCAGCTCCTAGCGTATTCCAGGATGCATTTTAACAAGCCCTGGTGCCTTGAACACATTTAATTTTCCATTCATCCTCCTTGTGTTCTCTACTACTTGGCCATGCCCGCTGCTGCCTCTGTGTTTATCAGCCTTCTGCCCTGAATCCTATTAGTCCAGAAAACAGAAAAACAAACCAAAACACCCCCCCATGGCAAAAACAAACCCCAAACGAGTCCCACAATCCAAACTCTCCTTGCAAACTCCCACTCAAACTCTCCTGTTAACAGCTCTGTTTGCTGGCTCCTGGGGCATAGGAAGCCTAACCAGTCATCAACCGGCAATACAGCATCTGCAGTCAGTTATGTGCAATACCTGAGCCTAGGACCCCAAAGCGATATTGTCATGCCATGGTCAGAAGACTGTATTACCCATCCCAACCCCCCCTCAATGTGGAGAGGACAAAGCACCAGCCCTCATCTCAGATCAGATTTCTCTTTTGTATTCCAAACCAGCATTCAAGTGCTGCCAAACATTGTAGGGTTATCCCCTTGTGTTGTTGCAACATTCTGTGTACCTTGGAATGCTGTATGGATCAGCCAAGTAATCTCACAACTCAGCAAGTGCCCCTGCTCTGGGTCCTTAGTAAACCTGTCTTTGTGTCTAGACAACGTTGTTATCCATTGTGCTTTTCCAGCTGGTGATGACGCAGTACAGCTATTCACAACCACATAATTGTGTGCCTCAGTTTACCCTTCCACACAGCAGAGCAGGTTTATTATGGTTTCCCTGTTGTGACAAGATTTGAACCTGTGTACAAGTGTTAGCCCTAACCCTACTCCTAGAACAGCCAATACGCTTTTATAAATATCATACGATGCACATTTTCAGAGGCTATATTGCCAGTATTGAATTTTTTATTATAATGTGTACCATGAGTAGCAAACATTGCGTCATGAGATTTAATAATCACAAACAACAATTAGAGATGGGGAAAGGTACGAGTTAATGAGCTGTACACAGTAAGAATCCCCTGTATGTGATGGTCAGAAAGCACAGTAGTCAAGAAAGGGTTTATTCCCTTTTGCCTGGTTGGTCAGGGATTCAGGGAAGAGGAAGAAGCCAGAGCAGCCTGGCCTGGATCTGTTTAGGCCTCACCCTGTAGATGATGGGGTTTAGCATGGGGAGCACTACAAGGTAGACATTAGCAATGAGACTTTGGAAGTTAAGGGGCAAAAGAGGGTAAATTGAGACACGAGAGAGAAGAGAGATGGGACCCAACCCACAGATCTTGGGACTGTGCCCTGGAGTTGGTTCCCAAAGAACTTCCCTGTGGGTCTCAGTTTACAGAGTCAACTTGGAGTCCAGCTTAGCTGTTTCTTAACCAATTATTGTACTTCAAGAATTATGCCAGTGGGACCAGTGGATCCTTCTGCTGTTGCCCACTATCAGTGAAATAGCCACTAAGCTCTCCCCCTATATAGCTGGCAGCCTCATGACCTTCTGGACATAATGAGAGAGGTTTGGGAACATACCCTGTCGACCTCCCAAGGACATTAGGAAAAACATCCTGCCTGTCCGGGTGGTTCAACACTGGGATAAGTTGTCCAGGGAGGTTGTAGAATCTCCATCCCTGGGGATATTTAAGAGCAGGTTGGACAGACACCTGTCAGGGATGGTCTAGATGGTGTTTGATCCTGGACTTGATGCTCTCCTGTGGTCCCTTCCAGTTCTAGAGTTCCCATGCTATGATTCTATGGGTTGAGCTCAGGGACAAGGTGGTCCTGCTTCTTCCACTGCAGGAGGCAAAGTTCCTCATCCACAGGCCAGGACCTTCCAGAATAATAGGCTGCTCACATATGAGGTTCTCCAGCCACGAGGGACTGCTGCACATGCCATATCCTCTCAAACCGCACCAGGCCCCCAGGTTCCTGATATGACTGTAATTCAGAACCCACAACTGTGTCACACTGTGGACAGCTAAGCCACCAAAACAAGCCTGTGGAAGGCCTTCACCACAATTTTCCGTGCTTCATTAGAATAAAAATGGCTGCCGCTTTTTGCCACCACGGCAATTTGCCGGCAAAAAGCAGGAATCTAAACACGGATCAGTCGACCAGGAAGCCTTTTCTGACTGATCTCTTAAGCCTCGTGCAACGAGATTTACAAGGATCACTTGGAAATGGCTTTCCTTGTCGACCGATCCCCGTCTAGACGGCTGCTTTTTGCCGGTAAATTGCTGCGGTGGCAAAAAGTGGTGACCCTTCATATTCTAATGAAGCACGGGCTATTTAAATCCCCGCTTCATTAGCAATTTGGTATGTCTAATTTACATCCCTCTGGCAACAGAGGGGTGTAGTCCAGACATACCGTAGCTGTCCAAAGCGTTAATTTTGACATTTACCTAATGCCCCAGATCCATGAGCTCCTGGACCATCTTGGCAGAGTGATGTATGTCACAACTCCTAACTTCACAAACAGGTCCTGAGTACACAAATCCTCTTCAATGAGAGATCCGAGAAAGAAAGCAGCATCTGCTACGCCTACCGAGTTATATTGTTTCACGAAGATGCTCTTTGGCCTCCCTGAAGCTATGTTATCCATTTGGCAGTTGTTGGACTGCGATCGATGGCCTACTCTAGGAAGACCCTTTCAGCTCGGTGGCTACTGAGCTCACTTCCAACCCCATCCTGCAAAATACTGGAGGCCACAACCCTCTGAGAAAGGGTGACAGAGGAGTTCCCCGAGCTAGGAGTGGGTTACCTGGGAAATCCTGGATGGGTTTGCTTGGTTTTATTGACATAGGCAGAGCACTGGGACTGGGGAAGAGCTCCACAGAGGGCTAGCCACCACACAAAGGCCCCTACAGCCTTACCACACCAGACCCTGGAACACAAAGAACTGAAAAATGAACTTAACTGGAGAGGCTATTGAAGGGGACACTGAGGGGGAAAAATACATGGTGAGGTTTATGGAATCATTAATCACAAGAACGATGAAAGGTCTGGAGGACATGAGCTATGAATGAAGGATGAAAGAATTGGGTTTGTTTAGTGTAGAAAAGAGAAGACTGAGGGGGGACGTGATAGCCGTTTTCAGGTATCTAAAAGGGTGTTAAAAGAAGAAGGGAGAAAACTTGTTCATCTTGGCCTCTGAGGATACAACAAGAAGCAATGGGCTTAAACTGCAGCAAGGGAGGTTTAGGTTGGACATTAGGAAAAAGTTCCTAACTGTCAGGATAAATTGCCCAGGGAGGTTGTGGAATCCCCATCTGTGGAGATATTGAAGAGTAGATTAGATAAATATCTATCAGAGATGGTCTAGACAGTATTTGGTCCTGCCACGGGGACAGGAGACTGGACTCGATGACTCTCGAGGTCCCTTCCAGTCCTAGTGTTCTATGATTCTATGATTCTATGGAGTGTTACCAGATTTGCCCAATACTCTGGGGGATGCTCCTTTAGTAGAGTTACTCTTCTGGGCCTGGGGGGAGGTTCACAATTCTATCCGTGTGCTGCTTGTGCTACTTGTGCTCTCATAGGGAGCTGAATTCTCCCT